TCAGTTTTCTACGGTTCCTAACTTCTGATTTATATTCCCTTTCTTTTCTCCTTTCTTCCATTTGTTACATTATTTCTTTATTTTTTTATAGCTGTCTTCGCTTCCCCACCAAAGCAGGTCATTTTCTAACCAATACAGTCTTTTCCCTCGATTGTGGCTTTTTGGCCATCTAGTAATGTTCTTAAACACACCCAGTCTTCCTCTCTGCTGATGTGGCTTATCATTCTTTTCAGCTTTGTGAAACTGGCCCTTCTAAAGCACCGAGTATTTATCTCCCTGATCTGGATTTCATTCTGTTTGTATTTTATAAATGTGATCAAATCCTGATCCCTTGTACATAAGTCACCATTAACGTGCTAAGGAAGGACCAAGCTTCTGCTGGGCAAAAATATGTGCATGAGACTAACTGCAAAGGGAAGGCCCCGTGGCCTGATGGGAGCCAGGGGTCCTGGGTTCTGTTCCCTGCTCTGCTGACTCGCTCTGTGACCCTGGAGATGTCTGTGCTTCAGTCTCAATTGACCTGTCTTGTGGGGTTCTGGGCAGCTTTGCTGAATACAAAGGGTTGTGCACAACCCTGAGCTGAATGGTGTTAGAGCAGAGAAAGTGCTGCTGTTCAGTCTCTCTTATCTGGACGCTGCGGGGAGGAAACTGCCACTGAAACTGCCCCAGGACCTGCCATCTGTGCTGTGAGCCAACCGTCCTGTCTCTTGCTTGCAGAGGATCAAGGAAGGGAGCGTCATAGACCGGATCCAGGTCATCAATGTGGGCGACATGATTGAGTCCATCAATGGGCAGAGCCTCATCGGCTGCCGGCACTATGAGGTTGCCAAGATGCTCAAGGATCTGCCCAAAGGCCGCACCTTCACGCTGAAGCTAACAGAGCCCCGGAAGGCATTCGGTGAGTGAGCCCCACGCACTGGCCTGGGCAGATGAGGCCACTGGCAGGCTCAGGATGATTGGAGCATGAGGCCTGTCACCAGTCCCTGTGGTCACAAGTTGGTTCCACCTGACGTGTAAAACGAGCGCGGTGGGTCTCAGTCCAGGTCATAGTAGGGCAGGAGTCCCTGGCTAAGTAACTGGCTGCCAACAAGGGGAGCCACAGCAGAAAGTATCAAACAGGCCACAGAGACTGAGCTCCCCCATCTCTCTAGAGGGGCTTGTTCCTGGGCGGGCGGGGGGGAGGGACATGGCAGCAGGGGGCGGTATGTTTGCCATTGGCCCTGCTGAGGCCTTCAGCCTCCAGGGCAATCAGTCCAGCAGAGAACACGCTGGGCTTTGTTTTGCACGTTCTGTCCTTCCTCCTTCAGTGAGAAGCCGCATTGGGTGCTTATCTGAGAGCGCCTTTCATCTTTCGTGAAATATTGGAACAGCCTTCCGAGTGAAACGGTGGGGGCGAAGGACCTGTCTGGTTTTAAGATTAAGCTAGATAAGTGTATGGAGGGAATGGTTTAATGGGACAACGTGATTTTAGTCAAAGGAACAGCGTGCCATCGCTGGTAAATAGTATAATGGTCAATGAGGGTCTGGCTGGAGAATCTTGCCTACACGCTCGGGGTTTTACTGATCGCCATATTTGGGGTCGGGAAGGAATTTTCCTCCAGGGTAGATTGGCAGAGGCCCTGGAGGTTTTTCGCCTTCCTCCGCAGCATGGGGCAGGGATCGCTAGCTGGAGGATTCTCTGCTACTTGAAGTCTCTAAACCACAGGATTTGGGGACTTCAACAGCAGAGTAAAAGGAAAGGGTTGGGATGGCTTTGTGGCCTGCATCATGCAGGGGGTCAGACTAGATGATCATAATGGTCCCTTCTGACCTTAAAGTCTATGAGTCTTAGCCCAAAGGCCCAAGCCCTGCTGGCTGCTGTGGGCACTAAGAGCCATTACCTTCTGTCCTACTTGGCCATTAAATGGGAGATGGGGGAAGGGGGGCGGCGGCTTTGCATCAGGGTTTCCCAATCTGTGGGTCGCCGGAATGTTTGAGGCCCGCGAGGTGGCTCTGGTCCCGTGGGTCTGGCTGGGCTCGCCTCCCTGGTGCCGCTGCTGCCAGGTGAGTGCAAGGTGGGCTTTGCAACCTCCTTCAGGGCCACCCCGGCCAATGTGCTGAGTCACCACAGGCCATCGACATTTACAAATGGGTCCTGAGCCAAAAAAAGGGTGAGACCCGCTGCTTGAGGTGCTGAGCGTGGGGTTTGCTTACTTGTCCTGCGGCGTGGTGGCCAGCAGGTGGCACTGTAACCTCACTGCAGCTCCTGGCCATCTGACCTGTGCGGTGTAACCACAGGGTTGGCTGAGTGGTGGGGCAGTTCTGCTGCTTAATTTCAGGTTAGGGCTTTACCAGCCATGTTACTGCAGGGAAGCCTTCCTCGTACTGGGAGAGGGAAAAGGAGGCTTCTGCCGTGGAAGGCAAGTGGGATCTGGAGTTTCTGGTAGCAGCTGAGCCTGCATGTGGGCCTTGAGGCAGCCGGCCTGTAAAGCTGCCCCATCTCTGCTTGGACTTGGGATTAGGTGGCCCTGCCAAGGTATCTGCAAATGACCCCCTGTGTACTCAGTGATGAGAGGAGGCTGCTCACAGGACAAGTGGGAGGGGCTGGCTCTGCCTTGCTTGTCTCTTCCCTCTCCTCCCTCCCTCCCCCCCAATCTCTATGGTGGCTTGAGGGAAGGGGTCTGTGCTCGCGGTCCTAAATGTCACTAAGCAGACAGGCCTGTTTCAACCCCAGCAGCTGGCAAGGTGAAGGAGCTCTCCCTACTGATCCCTCAAAGTGCAGGGCTTTCTGCAGGGCTTTGAGTGGAGCCTGGGGGAAAGTGAGGTCCCCAGGATGGTGCTGACGGCCGGGGGAGACAACTTGGTTCTGGGCTGGACTGTCCCAGCCCCGTGCTTGTTATCCAGCGCTGGCCTTGTCAGTGGCTCCCAACCGTATCCCAGGGATGGGGATTCCAGCTCTGTTCCGGGCAGACTGCCTCTGATCACGGTGCATCCTCGCCCTCTGCTGTGTGTGCAGCCTTCTCAGAGTCCTCAAATCCAGATTCCTTGGCTGCTGGTAGCATCTCTTCGAACGCTGCACTAAGCCCCGGGTTGGGGCAGTGTTGCTACCCTCACATTGCCCCAGATCACACAGCGAGGCAGCAGCAGTGCGGAAGTAGAACCCAGGAGTCCTGGTTTGCCAACCTTAACCACTAGGTGGCGCTCCCTCCCTGAGCAAGGGATAGAACCCAGGAGTCCTGGCTCCCAGTCGCATCGCGTTCCCTGCTGCTGGTGTCTCAGTTCATTCATCCGCAAGGCCAGCCTGCCACCACGAATTCCTTCCTCCTTAAGTGACTCACTGGCCTCTGATCTGGGAAGGAAGATCATTTTCCACTTGAAGTTATTTCCTCCTTGGCTTATGCTTCTCAGCCCGCGCACACGTCCCTGGTTCCTGGAATCTGGTAACTTCCTCCTCCCCTCCCTCTACCAGCTGCCTATGTTCATCTCTGGCACCTTGGGAGCCTTGGCACAAGCATCCGTGCCACTGCTCATTCCCTGCAGTTCGTTCCATGCTAATTAGTGACAGCTCCATGGTGCTGGCCGTGTGTACGAACGTTAGGCTCTTCTGCTTGTCCGTGGTGGAGAGAGACCAGGTGCCAATGCTCGCTGGCTCTTTGGCAAAGCCACCTGCCAATTGGGTGGCAGGCAAACCTGAGAATGCTAAGCTTAGCTCAGTCCTGCCAGCCCTGTGCTCTGCTGCCTGGACCCACAACTCACTGGTGGGTCAATCCAGCCTCATAACCTGCCCTGCCTTCCAGTGTGCGCTGGACCAGGGGCCGCGGGAGGAAAAGCTCCACGCTGTTCCCTCAGAATGCCGGCTGCTAGCGCGCAGGGAGAGCTCTGCTAGCTGCCAAGAGTAGATGGTCTTTTCACCTCTGGAGCTGCCAGAGGGAGACGGAACTTGGGAGGGCCTGGGCAGAGCTGGTAGCATCCAGCAGTGGGTGCACCCCAACATGGGTGTTCCAACCTGTTTGCGGGTCGTGCTTGATTCCAGGAGGGGGCAGGAAAGTTCTGTGTTCCATCAGCCTGGTCCGTGGGACTGTGCGGCATCAGTGACGGGTCTTTCTCCCTGGGGGCACCCTTCTACCCGTGCCGCGTCCCCCTTACTGCTCTGGGCAGCTGTTTCCTGCTGCAGGGCCATGGCTCAGCTCATAGGCTCCTGCCGAGGACCCAGATCACCAGCTCTTTGCACAAGCAGCCTCTTGTCCTCTGATCGAAGCAGGGAGGTGGGGGACTGGTTCATCGTGTGCTGGCCCTGGTCAGTTCCCACCTCTTGTAGAAACCCGCCGCAGAGGCATCCACCCGCTGGGCTCTGCGCCAGCCCTGGCGCTCAAGCCTGGAGTGTGCAGTGCTGGACGGATCGCTGGGAGAGCTGCTGATAAGGAAAGTGCTGGCTTCTGGGGAACAGCTCTAGGCCAGCTCGCTTCGGTTCTTCCCCTCTATGGGCAACCTGGAGCAGCCTCTTGTGTTAATCTCTCCCGCTGGCTATTTCTAGCTCCCGGGCTAAGTGGCTGTTATCTTCCCCCATTGAGAGTGTTCAGGACCTTCCCTGTGATCTAGGGAGGGGCCAGCGCCCTGCCCCAGCTGGGGAGACCCTAATCACAGCATTCCCTCAATGCTCTTGAGTGAGACTAATGTACAGGCCGCGTGGCTGTGCCCACGCCCCTCAGTCCTCTTTGCAGCACCTCCCACCTTCTCCCCGCACACAGCTCTGGCGCTACCCTCAGCCCCCACCCACAGCCGCCCCTGCTTCTCCAGCCCTGCTGCTACTCCTCAGCTCTGCTGGTGCCCCTCAGCCCCCATCCGCAGATGCCCTGGACTCCCCCCCCCCCCCCACGCCCTGCTGGTGCACCTCAACATCCTCACACAGAGCTCTGCCAATATCCCCTGACTCAGAGACCCCCTGTTTCTCCAGCCGTGGCCCCTCCCCCCCCCCCCCCCACGCTCTGCCAGTGCCCCTGCTATTCCAGTCTTGCACTTACTAGTCGATGTTGGTCATGTGACCTTCTGCGGCTCCTGTGGTCTCCGTGCTTTGCCAGCGCTGGAGTCTTGGTGCAGACATGCCCTGCTCTCCCCGCCCCTGCGCCCTGTCCTGCCCGCTGCTATGCTGTGGCATGACTGGAAAGGCTGTTCTTTCTCTTGGCTGCAAGCTCTAGGGCAGAGGCCAGAACCCCAGCCTCCCCATGTGGGGCAAACAGCTCCTCCCTGTCTGAAAGGAGCCAAGCTTTCCTGGAAAGGCAGGGCAGTGCCTCTGCATTCCCAGTTTAACACCGCCACCCCCCCCCCCCCAGCTTTGGGGGGAGTGCAGGGGATGACAGCCTCAGAAATGCCAGTGCCAGGAACACCTGGAGCTCCATCCCCACTACGAGCCAAGCCCATGTTCCCGTTAGAGGCAGAACAACTGGGCTTCTGTGCTGGGGCCAGGCTAGTCTTTCTCAGTGCTGTTCCCTGCCCTGTGAGGGCTCTAACGGGGGGGGGGGGGCTGAGGCAGGCTGACCTGGGGGCCAGTGACCGCTCTTCCCATGGCTTCTGGATCAGTGATTCTCTCTGTATGTTGGGGTGGGAATAGATGCAGGGGTGAAAGTGGGCTGGTACGGTGTACCGGTAAGAAGTGGTCGCTGGTACCAGCCCATATGCAGCCAATGTGCTGCCCCTTGCCCTCCGCCCCCTGTTGGTGGCCCTGCCAATAGGCTCCTACCACCAGGGAGGACGTAAAAGGGGCAGCTGCCCTGGGGCCCGTCTATTTAAAAGAGCCCAGGGCTCCCGGCCCCTGCTACCGCGGCAGCATCCGGAGCCCCGGGCCCTTTTAAATCACTACCGGAGCCCCAGGTGGCACGAGCCAGGCAGTACGGATGGGCTGGCTGTTGGAGACTGATCCCCAGCCCTGCCCCTTCCGGGGGCCTGAAGCCGGGCCCCCGTATTGGTAAGTCTTTTGTGTTATTTTCACCCCTGAATAGGGGTGGGGGTGTGTGTGTGTATGTATGTATGGGGGGTGGGGTCTGAATAGCCCCCCCACGATAGCCCCAAAAGGGAAAAATCCTCCGTATCTTTTGGCCCAGAACAATCTCCAACCAAGATCTATTGACACAGTGCAGCCAAGAGTATCTGAGCCACCATCATTGCCAGGAGGGGTTGGAGATGGATCGGTCATGTGCTTCGGATGGGAACGGATTCCATCACCGGAGTAGCAATCAGATGGACACCTGAAGGCCAGCGAAAACGAGGCCGCCCGAAAACAACCTGGCGAAGAGCTGTGGCAGCCGAGCTGAGAAACCCGGGGCACAGCTGGGGAACCGCCGAAAGACTTGCCAGAAACAGACAGGAGTGGAGGCGCTTTGTCACAGCCCTAAACGCCAGAGGCGTGATAGGAACATGATGATTATGGCCCCTCCCTATCACCCTGCCCACCGGGTGTATGGTAGCCGGGCTTCCCAGGGATGTTAATGGCATTCAGCATCCACCCAGCAGAACAGTGGCTGCTGCAGCCAGCCCGCTGCTCAGTGCCTGGGGCTGCTGGGACAGTGGCTGTGTGGGGACCCAAGGGGTTATGCAGGCTCTGGGCCAATCGCTTTTTGCACCATCTCTGGCCCTCGTGTAGATGGGGGCTGGAGGTCTCGTGGTTTGTGATCGGTTGGGAGCCTGCCTGCGGGCTTTGGCCTGGCGTCGGTGCATGAGGCACACACGCGGCAGGGTGGGGTGCCTGCCTGCCACGCCATCCTCTGATTGCAGCTCCAGCCCAAACATGTTGATGTGGCTGGAGGCTATTTGTGTCTGAGTCCAGGGCATTTCCCTCTCCAACAGCCCGTACTGTGCTAACCACACTGGGAGCGGGCAGGGTGTCATGGCTCCTCCAGCCCAGCTGCTGCTGCTCCAAGGAGTCCTCCTTGGAACCTGGGGAGGGAAGCAGCGTTTTCCGTAGGAGACAGACCCTGGTGTGTGCTTGGAGGGGCAGGGAGCAGCTGCTAGAGCCAGCGCCAGAGAGCTGGGGAACAGGTGCATGAGGACTGTCAATACCCAAGCAGTGCGTGCCTCCATGAAACTCCTGTACCCCAATGCACCAGGCAGAGCAGTGCTAGCCACCTTAGAAGCAGTCGGGGGAGCCTGTATCCTCTAGTGTCCCTGGTGCTAAGGGATCCACGCCCCCTGCAGGACCACGGGATCCCCTCTTGGAGGTAGAGTCCTAGGAGGAGTTGCATATGGCCCCCCGGTCTGTATCTGGTCCTCTTGAGAGACTTGTGACCCTTGGACACATTGTCCACAGTATCTGCTTCCCTCCTCTTAAAAATCCCCCCAAAGGGGGTTCTAGCTCTCATGTGACTGCTGGCTGCCTCTGCTGACAGCCTGAGACTACGGCTAACAGGGTGCAGGGGAGTGCTCACTCCTCAGTCTCCCGGTGGTGTCGTCTGCAACTGCCAGCCCTGGCATTTCTGTGTCCGCGCTAACTTTCTGCGTTGGAGGCGGAGTGGGACTTGCGGGCTGGGGGAAGAAGAGGGAGAGAAGCAGAGAGCGGAGGATGGGGACAGGAGAGAAGCACCGGGCAGAGCGTTTCTCGCTGAACATGGCAATCAAGTACTGAATATACAATCCCCAACGGTGCAGTTGCCACAGAGGCCAGACTGTCCCCGTCCCTCCCAGTGACGCCAGCGGGAGATCTGTAGATCAAGGGAAGAAGTGACTCCAAAATGAATGCCCTGGGCCAGAACTGAACGTGGCATTCTGCCTTCCGCACTGAATGAGCGATACATCAGCCCTAGAGCAGGGGCGCGTCTGCCTCAGCTTGCTCCCCTCGCCTGGACGTGGGAGGGTGAATAACCAGCTTTTCCCCCGTGCGTCCTGGCAGCAGTGCACCCACAGAGTCGTCTGGGCTTGAATCTGCTGCAGAACTTTAAAAAAAAAAGGGGGGGGGGCAATGGGGGAGGGGAAAACCAAAGTCTCTTGAAGGGTTTCTTCACAGCCACGGCTGTCGAGCCTACCCGCTAGCAGGGACATCTGCCTGAGTCTGCAGGCAGCCTGACACGGGAGCTCGTTTGTCGCCGACATTTAATTACCGGTCTCACTGCAGCTCGCTTTGGCAGACTCAGCGGGCTGGCCATTGGCCGCAGCAGCGGCGAACCGGGTAGCAGGAGCCAGCCCTTGCTGAGGTTTGGATGAGGAGTTCAGGCCTTCCCCTGCTCCACGTTTACTGTCCCCTCTGCCCGAAGGGCGTGGGGAGGTGGAAAAGTGGCATAGCACCTGCTGCCTCGGAAAGCTTTGCCTGGATAGCTGTGTGCAGGCAGCCCCTGGGGAGTGTGAGGGCAGCGTGACATGGAATGGCATGCGGAAATAAACAGGGGCTTCTGCAGCGGCGTGTACAGCCTGCTGTATTGGGATGGGGCAGTGAAGTGCGGGGAGCCCTGTTGCTGCATGTGTCCCCATCTTCCTTCCCCCCCCGCTGCCGTCCCTCGCCCTCTGGCTCGACACATCCAGGGCCTCTCATCCCATTTCTGAAGGACAAACTGCAAGTGAAGCAGACTCTGAAGTGCCTAGGACAAGACGGGACCTCCAGCACCCTGCGAGTGGAGCCCCTCTTGGATAATTCTTGCCCTGCACCTGCCCCGGCACCTGTGCTCCGCACATAGGATCTCTGCTCCCATGGCCGGCACCCCAGCTGCATGGCCTCCGCTTCCAGACAGTTCTAACCAGCAAGAAAGCGGGGGCCCCCAGGCTGCCCCACCGCCCTTGGGCACCTTCTTGGCACAGCAGTTGGGCTGTGGGAATGTCATTGAGGGGCAGAGAGGAGACCATGGCTAGCACGAAGCAATGGATCCAGGGGGCGGGTAGGAAAAGTAAAGCAGCCCGCCATGCTCCAGTGCCCCCTCTGGCAGGGACTGAGCAACACACAGCCCTGTGCCTAGGCATTTATACCATACTCCTGCTGCCATCTGTGTCTGGCGTCGGCGTTTTAGGGAATGGGCTCGGGCCCCCCTCCCCCGTACGCCAGAAGCAGGAAAGTGGCTGATCAGATGAGATTTTCCCAGATTATTTTTATGCCGTGGGACTGTGGGAAACGTCAGTGGGGCTGGATCTCCATGGCTCTGTGCCCCCGGCACACAGTAACGACTGGCTGGAGAGGCGCATCACAGGCAGCTGCTGTTGTAACTGGCCTGAGAAGGAGTGTATTTTGGAAACACAGCAGCTGGGTTGGTTGTCCCGTGAGGGTTTTAATGGGATGATGCTGAAGCGGCTCTGTCCCTCGTGGGGAGAGGAAACAGAGTGACCAGTGCCCTGTATCAGCTCGAGGGGACAGGGCTGTCCAGGAAAACACTGGCCGCTCCGGAAGTGCATTGGGAACAGAGGTCCCTGCAGGCGTGGGAGCTGCTGCAGGATGGACCACGGCTTCCCTGGGGATTCCAGGCTGCCCAAGGGCAGGAAGAAACCGGTTACGTACTGGAGGAAAGAGGAGCTTGTGGGATCCCGCAATGCTGTTGGCAAGAACTAGACCGCCCCACCGGACAGAGAGGCCTGGAGGTTTCATGAGGCTTGCACCCAGAGCCAGGGAGAGAGTCCTGCCTCTCTCTGCTTCTACTAAACTCTCTCTCCTGTTTTAATCAGCTGCCCTTGACGGCAGGGCCGTACCAACTGCATTTTGAAAGCTGCCCTCTGAAGGCAGTTCACATACCTCTATGTGGGAGGGACTTGGTTTTTCGAAGCCGAGGTGGAACACGTCCTTAACTTAGTTCTGTGCTGCTATGAAACCTTCCCAGCCGTTAGATCCAATCCCGGGGGGTTAGAGGTACAGGGAGCGCCTGGACCAGTGCATTGAAGATAACACTGGACGGCGAGAAACCCGCAGAGGGCAGGAACCACTCGGCGCTGCCAGCGCCCAGCGTCCTGCACTCCAAATAGAGCTGCTGAGGTTGAGTGATCCCCGATTTCTGCCCGTTCCCTCCCAGCACGGATCCAGCCAGGGACTCTGTGAGCTCAAACTCATTCACTGCCGACAGCAGAGCAGGAGCAAGAGAAATGTGCGGGGGGCGGTAGGAAGATCCAGGCAGAGGAGCAGGTCAGCGGGACCCCAGATACTCAGTCCTGCCAGAGCCGGCACATCCCTCTGCTGTGGAGTATGGAGACCTGACCTTCCACGGGCTGCGCTGCCTCGGCTAACGGAGGTTCTCGCACTGCGCCCATTGCCTTGGGCCCTGCGCGTGACTGCCAGGGACCCCTTCTCTGGTCCCACACGCTGATCTCCATGTGCCTTTGC